TGTTATGGAACCCAAGAATTTCCATCGTTAAGTCTTGTCTTGTCGGTCGTAAGTCGAGGAACCTACATGACTGGACCCTCACCTGTAAAAGTGAGCCAGTTGTCAAGCACCAGAAACGAGGCCATATAACCACAGGAGGGTGTGGAGCTGTCGGAACTCTGGACCTGGGTCATAAGTAGCTTTTTAGAGGGTCTGTTGTAATTTCTTAACAGTTCACCAAGTGATTATTAAGCGAGTATTACTAGCTGATTTGGGATTTCAAGATTGTTTGATTTGTGCATGGATGTGCAGAATGCCACAGGTTCGTTCATAAATTAAAGAATGTTAGGCAATCTCTTCCACCAAACCTATAACTTCTCTCCAATGAATATGACAATGCAGGAATCTTATTTTGGAGGAAAAGTCTATCAAAGTGTGAAATTAAACGAGAGAGCGAGCGAGAGAGAGAGAGAGAGAGAGAGGGAGGGAGAGAGAGAGAGAACTGCAGTTTTCGGTCCAATTTAAACCTTGATGGCCTGGAATAAACTGGTAAATTGAAAGGGTTTGGAGCAGGAGCAGAGAATGCGAGAGACAAGGAAAGGTATGAACTCCCGCAATCAGTTGGATTTTGGGAATATCATTGGAAGATCCATAGGAATTTTTTTTTAAAAACCTGAGACTAGGATGGTCTCAAGGGGTGGATTTGTCTGAAGTGCTACAGGGTTTCCTGCCTGAGCAGGGGGCTGGACTAGATGAGCTCCAAGGTCCCTTCCAGCTCCGTTATTCTGTCTTCTATTTCAACTTGGACACCAGGTGCCCTTCTGAATCCAGGATGCTAGGAAGACCAGTCCTGCCAAGGCTGGTTAAAGAGCTTCCTTTGTTCCCAAACAACAAACTCCACTCAAGGATGGACAAGAATGTTAATGAGGCAGTCAGAGAAATAAGTTACTGAAGCAGCCCAAAGCAGCGGATGGAGATTGGCAGAAAGGGCAGGAAAATGTTCATTTAATAGCAGGGGGTTTATTAATGCAAGCGGGGCTAAAAGGTGTGTCTGAAGCCACCTGGAAGTTACAAGCAAGCTTCATCAACCATCTAGAACCTCTGAAGACTAGCTGGGGAGGGGCGGGAATCCCTAACTTGTTTATTTTTATTTTTTATTTTATTTTATTTTATTCCTTTCTGTAAGCCGCCCGGAGACCTCCAGGATTGGGCGGCCTATAAATAAAATTAAACTTCAAACTTTTATAGCCCGTTTCTGGGCTTCTTGCTAGCCAATTCTGGAAAAAAAAGAACAAGAATTGTTCTTCAATTGGTTTGAGAGACATCTGCTACGGGCAAGGAAGATCTGGTGGAGGTTTAGAAAGCAACCGGAGAATAATTCTTTTATCTCTTGGGAGGCCATATGCTCACAAGCCCCCAATCTGCATATTCTTCCTCCTTTCCTTATGAATTCTATGAATATACAACAGAACATCTGACGGGAATTCCTCACATCCGGTGCCTGGCACCTATTATCTTAGAAAGCACATGGTTTAGCTTCCTTCCTACGGCAAGTTTCTAGGCCTCATGAAGGCAAGCCTATAATGAATACCTGTGGATAGCAGCCCATTGTGTTTTATAAAGCGGGACAGGGTCAGAGTAACAAAACTGGGCTTTTTGTGACTTAGGGAAAGTTCTGAACACTTGGGACAGAATTCTATTTTATTCCCTGTTGAATATTTTGCTAAAACTCACCCACTATTGCTTGCCCTTGAGCGACTCCTCAATAAGTTGACCAACTTAAAAATACCCAGGGTGAAATTTAAAAATGGCTAAACTGGGCAAACAGAATAAAGCATTTTAGTTCCTTTTTGGATCCAGGTTTTGNCCTATGAAGCGGTATATAAGTCTACTGCTATTGCTATTGCTACTTAAACCGGATTCAATCTAGTTTAACAGACACAAATCCCTACCGACAGTTTGAGGACTCAGTTAAAGGAATTCCCAGCCTCATCGTAAAAATGCTTTTCCCGGGGACGTGTGTGTTTTTGAAACCCTCAGACGTAAATGTAAATGCGTCCAGCACATCTCCAGCATCATAGCTGATCTATACTTCAAACTAAAATCCAAATATTTCTAAATATTTCACAGGGCACAAGTCTTGAGCAACTGCTTTTTAAGAAGGGAGACGCTCATGTTTACACTATACTCAAGTGGTGGAATTTCAAATCTGACGTGGTGGTCTGCATACGACTGGGAATTTCGGCCAAGAGCTTAAAAGAGAATAAAGTTTGCAAAGGTTCAAGGTTCCAGGTAGCCTCCTCCTGTTCGTTTTTCTACTCAAACACAGAACCGCCTTCCCTAACCTTTTAGTATCCAGCTGGCTTGGCTTTTGACTGGGGCAGAAAACTAAGGAAGACTGATGCAGATAATCCTTGACTTATAACCATTCGTTTCGAGATAATTCAAAGTTACAAGGTCACTGAAAAATGCGACTTAGAATGAGTTCCCAAACTTACGACTAGGGTTCCCAAACTTACAACTAGGGTTCCCAAACTTACGACTAGGGTTCAGGGATCATGTGATCACCATTTGCAACCTTCCCAGCCGTTTCCGACAAGCGAAGACAATGAGGGGATCTGGGTTCACTTAATCACCTGGATTGACTTAACAACTGCAGTGGCTGACTTAACAAGCCACAAGGTTGTAAAAAAAATCAGACAGTGGCTCGGTTAAAAGCCGTCTTGCTTAGTAACGGAAATTGTGAACCCAATAGAGGTCGTGAGTCAAGAACTAGATGTATAAAAAGGTAGGATTTTCTAAGCTTCCACCCTTGAGGAAGGACCTTAATACAGTGTTTCTCAACCTTGGTAACTTGAAGATGTCCGGACGTCAACTCCCAGAATTCCCCAGCCAGCGAATGCTGGCTGGGGAATTCTGGGAGTTGACGTCCGGACATCTTCAAGTTGCCAAGGTTGAGAAACACTGCCTTAATAGAAGCTGAGAAATAGGATGCATTTCGGCTCATGTGAGACCAAGGCAGCAAAGTTAGCTGGGACTCCACATTATCTAACACCGTGATGGCAAACCTATGACACATGGGCCAG